CTGGACTACCTCCCGGTACCATCCCCAGTCCAACGGACTGACGGAGCGGTTGGTGCGCACCATCAAAGATGGCGTGACGCGCTACGGGACGGAGGCGGACCGGCGGACCTGGGACGAGTGGCTGCCGTACCTGGCGATGGGGTACCGGATGAGCCCGCAGGCAGCCCTGGGGGGCTACTCCCCCTACTTCCTGCTGCACGGCCGTCACCCCATGCTGACAGGGGAGGCGGTCAAGTGGCAGTTGGTCGGAACTCCGATCGATTTCGACACACCGGAGCAGTGTGTGGAGGCCTGCCAACAGCGAGCGGTGGTGCTGCAGAGGGAGATGCCCCTGGCACTGGGAAACCTGCTCGTGGCACAGCACCGGGACCAGCGGCGGTACGACCACGTGCGCAAGACTGGGTACCGGCCCAAGGAGCGGAAGTTTGAAGTGGGTGACTTGGCCTACCTGCGGCGGCAGCCGGCGGACAAAACGGACGTGTCCGTCACGCGCGGGGCCTACCGGGTGCACCAGGTCGGCTCCAACGGGCGCATGGTGTTGCAAGGGGCGGACGGGACGCTGTTCAAGGAGCACATCGAGAACTGCGCCCCCTGCCACAACCCCAACATCGACATCACCATCGACCCAACCCTTACGACGGTGACGGCGGGACACGCCTGCCAAATCTGCAAGAGCCCCGGCCGGCAGGCAACGATGCTGCTGTGCGACTACTGCCTGGAGGGCTACCACATGAGCTGCCTGGAGCCGGCAGTCAAGGAGGTGCCCAAGGGAGTGTGGCTCTGCCCCAGTTGCACCTAGAGTCTCCAACAAGGGTGACTCGCCGGAGCCGCGGAGGCCGCGGCAGGCGAGTGGGGGGGGAGTGCGTGGGTAATCGCGGGTCTAGCCGGGTTACGCCTTAGTTTTTCTGCATGGCTAGATGCGGAAAGGAATGACCGGAGCGAGCATCGGAGATCAGCGTGACTAGCGTCTCCGGGCTCAGAGTTCTATGCGTTCTGCCGGACCCGATGAGGACCGGCAATAGCCGAGTAGCGCACGGCAAGGAGTGAGCTTTTCCATAAGCGGCAACCAGGATAACACGCTTAATCCACAGCTAGCAAGGTCCGACCAGATGGGATCCAGTACTTCGTACAAGATCTCTCGCAAAGTTTGTCGGAGCACGGTCAGAAGGTACAAACAGGATCTGGCACTGTTGAGAAGCAATAGTCAAGAATGATCAAGCGACTGCGGGCATGGTCAGAGCGCCGAATCAACGTCCTCAAGACACTCTGTCTGATCATGTATGGGAGGTCTGACAGATCTGACAGTAGAAGCTGGCGCAATGCGAACAGTACAAAAGCTCTCTTGAAAGCTCTCTTGCGCTTGGGTCGACATCCACCTTCTCTGCCTCGAGCTCCGCAACGTCCTCAGCCACGACCTGCAGAAGAGAGCTGTCAACGTTACAAGAACAGGTAATTTAAGGGCAAGCTCGAGGCGAAGTTGCCCATAGATTCCTCGCGAGCTTTCTATTCTAAAACGAAGCTTCATTCGGTCTAGTAGCCCAGCCCTCAATTGAGGCCATGAGCTGATTTTTCCATACGAAAGTCAAAATTGCGGCCCCTGACACGGAGCTACAATCGAGGTGTATCCCGGCAAATCTGTCGACAACTTTGAAGATGTGCTCTCTAAAGGAGAGCAATTAGCTTGAGAGTAGGAGAAAGACACGCCAGATTCGCAATATCTGCGCGTTTGCTCTCCTGTAGCATCTTTTCAGAGCTTTGCCCGGGTTCAAGCTCAAAGGATTTAGATGCGGGCAAGCTTGATTGATTGCTTAAGTATTGACTGCTTGACTGCGCTCGACAACAATGGTCAGCATGAATCCCGCCTTGCGAGGTTTGAGACGAGCTATCACCCACCTTCAATCTCCTCCTTAGAAGCTCCCTTACATCGATAGACTTCCACGTGTCATCCAAATCCGTGTGATCTTTCTCCAAGTCTCCGAAAAGCGGGACGTCTAGCCCAGGAGCCGTGCTCAGCTCTTGTATCTTGCGGTACCTGATGATCCTCCAGTTCTGGGTGGCACAGATGGAGTGGATCCAATCTGTGCGGTTATCTGACTGGAACGTAATCGTGTCTCCGCCAGTCGCGTGAACCTCGCTGGTGCGGGTGTTCTTCGATGTTTCGGCTTGGGCCTGTGAGGACGAAATTGTAAATATGGGAATCACTGCTGAGCTTCACAAGCGCCGACTACTCGAGGTCAAACCCGACCTCTCCTATGCGTCCACTCTAATGACAGACAGAGTTGGCCAATATGCAGTATAGCAACGTGTTTCAAGCTTCGCCTGACTCGTTGTTGATGCTTGGCAACAGCCTACTCATGCTTACAGGGAGGAAGAAGGTAAGGAAGGAAGATTGCTGGCGGCTCAAGTATTTGTGGGTCCCTCTCATGTCGGACGGCTCTATAGGTAGCTAATCGTCATGGGGTTACGTAAACACGGTCCAGTCATTTGCATTCTCCACCTCAAAAGACAAGCCATGGACTTACACCAAGGAGCAAATCGAGCTTCCGTGTTTTCAGAAGGGTGCCCGAATAGAAGGATTGAGGAATGTAAACACTATCGAGCAAGAGCTAGAGGTACTCCTAACTTGCACGTCTCGAGAATGCTGATGCGACCGCTCGAGGTCAAAGTTTGAACACTTCTTCAGTCGATCGTCTTAGCCCCGGGCTTCCGCTCTATCAGATTCTCACCTGCTTCGACTTCCCTGCTGACACGCTGAAGCGCGCCGCTGCACCAGCTTCGTGTCCCCCTAAGGATGCCGACGACGTCCTTGTCTTCTCCCGTGATCTCGTGTCTGCCACTAGCTCCTCGGTTCGTGTGCTGATGTGCTGTCCTCCAAGTGTTACCTGCCCTCACCAAAAAGTTTACTTTTTCCAGACCATCGTGATAATCTGACCGAACTTGGCCCATTGGCAAGTGCGCTCTACCTGAGAGTGACCGAGTCGACGTTTTCGTGGATTCGCAAAACTTTTCTGTTCGGTAAAGAGTAAGGTTCAAATTGCTCCGAAAATGACCTTGAGGGTCAAGCGACACATGTATCGACGAGTTGATTGTGCGTATCGCACAGTCTGCGCTTACTTGAATCAAAGCAGTATGGCTGAAAGGTCGACTCTTGGTGCAACTCAAAACGTGTCTAAACAAGTTCCTCCGGCTTGTGGTCCTAATCGTACCACCTTCAATGTTGCAAGAGTTGAGGACGAAGCGGGTATGGCATTCTGCATTTCTTCTCTACAACTTAACACGGTCGTTTTCCCCTACTGGCAGTCGGTTTGCTCAACAAGCTTAAGGGGTCGATGCTCTGAAGAATGACATGCGTAAAAGACGCCGTAACAAATCTTCAGACTCCTGAGCACAATATCCTTCAACGTACTTTTCAAGTTTAGGTTTCGCGTCGACCGAAATGGCTGAGCGCTCATCTGCGGTCGTCCGGACCAATCAGAGCGCTTCAGTTGATCACGTGGTAGGAAAAGTACAAACCTTGTACAGAATTTTGCTAGAGCGGCAGTGTACAAAGTTATACGCGGACCGGAGATGCGAAGCTGGTGAACCTAGCAGTTTTCGGTCGACGCGGAGCCTAACGCACCTTCCTCTTGTTCAAGTCTGATTGTAAGCATCGCTGAACATACCGCCATTAGAGCCTCCCGTTCCGATCCAGATTCACCCCGGAATTCATAGAGCTCGCCATCTTACCCGTTCGATCCATACGGCCCCAAACCGCACGATGATGTCCTGCATCGCCACTACAATCTTCTCCCGCTCCGGCTTGAGCTTTTTCTGCTCGTCTCTCAGCATTTTGAAGGCTGAGTGATGCCAAATGCGCAGAAAGTCGTAAGTCAGCCACATTGCGTAGATAGCCGGCTTGTCCTGCTCCTGCTTTTTCGTCTGCTCTTGCTCCTCCTGCCTTTGCTCCTGCTGATTCGTCTTGGGGTCCACA